AGTTTCAGCACTTAGAGAAATGTCTATGTCGTCTATGCTTGAAATGAATGCTGTGGGACAAAAATACACAAACAGAAAGAGAAATAAACACAAACACACACACTCAGACGTCACCGTGATGGCTCCCTTTGAGTCGCATCAGCGTAGGCAATAAATAGCTCAACATTCAATATTACACTGTGATACCATTTACAGCAGTTGTCTCATTCCCTCCAAAGATGCCTAATATGCTGCATTAGTACAATGTCATAAAACAAAAAGGCTTGGGCAGAGCCTCAAAGATTTCTAAGGGGGAGGATTTGAGTAACAAATTTATTCAACGGACAGAAAACAACACACAAATCCAAGGTAAAGAAAAAGAGCTGGTCTCATTGCCTCCCGAGGTGGAGCGGGTGAGTCACACTCTCAGTATCCAGCAAGTTCCATCCATGAATTGTTTAAGACAGAGCAAAGCCTTTGAGCGCTTTGTAAAAAAAAAAAAAAAGAAAACACACACACACACACACACACAAAAAAAAACTTCTAGGTCCCAAAGAAAAAATTATGTATTTAAAGCTAAGAGAAAGAGTCTTTGAGCTGCTGTTGTTAGGTAACGAATAACAAACTGACAACAAATACCAAGGCCTGCTGTCGTCCTCGAACCGGAAACAATTACTTTGAGACTTTCCAAATGAGCTTTTTATTAGGAGGCATGGAGCTATAAACCAAATTACTGCATTGCTTTGGTTTTGTTCTTATAAAGTTGGAAAATATAGCGCTTGAGAGGCATGTAGGGCCCTTGTTGCAATGCACACCTTAATGTGTGATCATTTCAAAGTTAACTTTGTGCAAAAAGCTCTTTTAAGCACAAACTTATTTGGGATCATTGGTGGGAGTTTTTGCCAGACCTGCAGCAGACAACTCACATTAAATCTTAATAAACAATTTATTAGTATAGGCTGTTGTATAATTTATATTTATGAGTTTCTCAGTGTTTACTAGTATAATGACTTATAAAAAAATCAACTTGGGACTGAGCGAAAGTATAGCAGAGATATATTTTGCCAGATTTTGGATGTTTTCCTCCTGAAGATGCAAGGCAAACAAGTCCAAAAAATTCAAAACAGCCTATCCTTGGAGTGCACCAATCATGACCTAGTTGGGGTTGGTGGGTTCAAAGTCTCCACCCCTAAAATATTCATGAGTTCCTCTCCTCCTCCTTCTCCTCATCCTTGCGAGCAACGTGGGATCAATTGCACAGGAGAGTCGGTCTAATCATGTTCCCTATTTTACTGAATGTCTGATCCCTGGAATCTGTGATTGGTTGATCAGACTGATTGAAGATGTTTTGGAATATGGATTTCCCTCCGGATATAAGATCCTGGTACACAGGCCCTGTCTCCTTCAGCCCAAGGGGGAGAGATGAGCGGGGAAAGAGGTGAGCATGGAGGGGGGAGGTCCCTTTCCTGAGAAAGGCCCTTTAATTGGGCTAAAACCCCGAGGCCGGGATCCCCCCTCCAGGGCAAGTGGAGAGCTGGACTCCATTATACACACACACATACACATACACATACACACACACACACACACCTACACACTAATGTTGACACCATCTCTTCTCCAAAAAAACACCCACTCAGTCTCAGTCAAGGCAGGCACACAAGTACGCACACATACACACACACTCACACGCCAAAACCATCACTTGTCATTGGCCCAGCTGCTCCCTCTTCAAAGCTGTTGGCTTCTGGGTGGCCGTGGAGATGAGAGGAGAAAAGAGAAGTCCTCAAGAGCTGCAGCCCGAGCCAAACAACACCAAATATCATCCATGAATATTCTTCAGACTCATGCATGATCTGAACAGAAACCTTGAACACTTGGCCAATGAAATACTGGAGAAAATGTAACACAAGTGCAAGGAGGTTGGAGATCTATCTGTGTGTGTGTGTGTGTGTGTGTGTGTGTGTGAATTAGGTGAATTAGAGAAAATATTACATGGATCTGAATGCTGTATATCAATGCAAAATAGATCTTCTTCTTACCACATTTTTAGAAGATGTGTTTGTATCTTTTATGAAGGGAAAGTAATGATTGTAAAAAATACTCCACAATAAGAAAAAATCCTGCATTCAAACTTGCATTTATTGTACTTCCAAATAGTTACTTGAATATATGGGACCAAGAGGGGTCATATCCTTTAGGAAATATAAATTTTGAATTCACAATAACATAATAAAACCAGAATACGGAGGCTATGTAATGAGGCAGAGCTAAATAGTTTTTGTACTCACCATGCAGGCTTTCTTGTGACTGTATTCTGTAAATGCTTTTGTGATTATTTTCTGATATTTTGTTATGTACTTTTCTTGGAGGCACAGCTTCCCTTAAAAGCTGGTCAATAAAAGTGCACACTCTTGAAGCAAGGCACTTAGTCTTGCTGAGTACAAAATTATTATCAGCCATATTTAGATATGAAAGGTAAATATACTTAGTATGTGTGTCTAAGAATGAATCAGTAATAGTAATACTGACACTGTGTCAGTATTACTATTACTGATTTATTAACATGTAAACTGAATTTTACATTTTTACCTGGTCATTTTTAATACACTGTTGAGTGCTTTAATCCTTAATATGCATCTTTGGTTAAAAACAGCTGATCATATGGTTTGAATATAAAATCTTAATCTGGAAAGTAACTATAGCTGACAAATAGTGGAGTGAAAGGTAAAAGGTAGGTACATGTCACTTTCCCCCACTGCCTGATGTGTTTCACACGCACTGTACATTGTGTTTGCATTACATTTGTGAAGTTCATGTGGGTGTGTGCATGTACACTCATTCGATCAGAATATTTCTTCACATGAGAGAAAATGCCTTTGAAAACTGCATTTAGACCATGTGATTCTTATAGACCTTATCAGCAAAGTGTGTCAGTGTGTCTGTGCAGCTTCCTATGTATAGCCTCATGTGATCTCTGTCCCTCTAACCTTGTTGCCATTGTTGAGGCTCATGCTGCTGAGGGCGGACAGTTTGGCCTCCAGACTCTGGTGCCCTGGCTGCTGCTGCTGCTGCTGGTGGAGCTGCTCCCTCTGGATCTGCTCCCTCATGCTCCTGGCCTCTTGGATTGCCTTCATCACCGCATCCTGGTCCCCAAAGAGTGCCGTGGAGTTGAGGCTGGACAGGATGTCTGGTAGGGGAGGACAGGATAGGACAGTAGGACAGCTGTTCATCACTTTGACTGGTGGGACGGGAAAGCAAAGCTAAGAGTGTGTTTGATCAGATTTGACTGACAGTAGCCTAGCAACATGAACAACAACCTTGTGACTGTCATCACAGGTTCTGAATGGTTCTGAACCACTTCTTCCCAACAAACCCACTTAGTGAGAACTTGAAGAAGACAGAGCAATAAAAAAAAAAAAAAGTTATTATAAAAAGGAACTATGCTTTTATGCTCTAGATCTGCAAAGAGTTCATCTGCATAGCAACTGGGATCTAAATACTCATTTACAAGTATTCTTTATTTTTCAGTTTGTCAAGTCATATGCTGGTGAACAACAATTGTAATACATTGTAAGTGTGTGTGTGATTTCATTACACTGGAAAGAATGGCTGTATACAAATTTCTACGAAATACTATTTAAACATCTGTATAAAAAGATCCAATTTTTCCAATCTTCCAATCAGGGCCAAATGTTGCTGAAGTTGTTTTCCAGTCCACTTGTGTGTAAACATGTCAGAACCTCCTCCCCCTTGTTTATGTGCCGTGCTTCACACTTTTGAAGGCAATGCACATTTGAGGAATAAGAAAAAATAAAAAAATAAAAGGATGCAAAGTTTCCGTCGCCCTCCTCGTTTAATTAGCAGACAAGTAGGAAGCACTGTATGCTTGGGTGGCCGTTAAAATGGGCAAAAAATAACTTTGCAGGGAGCACAAGTGACGCGTCCTCAAAGCCACTCCAGAGGAGCTGGCGAAATTGTTTTCTGGGGGGATATAATGAGAGGGTTTAGATTGGCCTTAATAACAGATAGCAGAGGTAGGGGCATAAAAGGTCTAGCGCGGGCAGACAATGATGTGAGGAAGCTCTTAAAAACCAAATAACGTGTGCTGGGTTTCACTGCTTCCGCTGCCGGGGTTTTCATTGGGGCTAAATACAGGGCTTTGGACTCCTGTAAAACACACACACACAAATACACACACACAGGTCTCCTCGTGGGGTTGAGGTGTCTGCAGTCTATCAGACGCATGCAACGCTGCCTGGTTTGTCTGTGTGTGGCGGGGAAAAGGGTGGTGTTTGGGTGGGTGATGTTTTTGTTTTTCCGGTTGAGGGGAAGGCACAGTTTTACACTGGAATGAGGACGTGTTTGCTCTGGATGGATGTACAGTGCAGATGTGAACAATACGGTGGTGTATTTTTGTTTGTGTGTGAGAGAGCATGTATTTGTAGAGTGCTTCAGTGTTTCCCCCAAGAGTTTTTTCTTGGCGTGCAGAAGCAGCATTTAGACCATGTGATTTTCATAGAACATGTCAGTAAAGCCATTGCTAGGGTACTCCCTTTAGGCAGACTTGCAGTGCTACTGCGGTGGCCCATCCTGTCTACCCAGTGGACAAACATAAGGAAGCGTAAGTGCATGTATGTGTTTGTTACCTACCCAGAGAGGTGTTCCTGCCCATGGTGGGGATGGGGCTTGGGATGCGGCCCTTGCCCATGCCTGAAGGGCTGGTCTTGTTTCCGGAGAACAGACCCTGTGTCGGAGATGTTGGGGAGCGTAGAGGCTCGGCTGTCTTGGGTCTAGCTGAGAGGTTCAATGGCTGTGTGGATCCTTCCTCCTGTTAGCAGAACAGACACAACAGTTTAATTAATCTGGTTTTGTTTCAGAATGTAACTGAATAAAGCCATGTTAACAAGTGATGTGTCTGTGTGGCATTAGTATGTGGTCCTGTTTAATAATTCAGTGTCCCTAATTATTGTTTAAACCATGTGGAGTTTTTGACCCTAGTAGCACCATGAAGCATATGTGCACAAATATCAATGCACGTAGGTGGGTGATACACAGGTCTGCCAGTGGTTTTCACACTTTTCCACTGATTGCCATTGCGAGTGGTGGTGATGAACCAAGAAACGTAGTTATGCAGCAACAAAGGCAAGGAAGAAGACTGGTTGCAAATTTTCAGAAAATCGAAATTCAACTTTGCAAATATCTTATGAGGAAAAAAACGTATTACACATTTATTACCAAACATTGTGCAATGGAATTCTGTTTTTGTTTCTAATTCTAATTCCCTTCTCTAATTAGTTTGACAGGTTGATCTTGAGAGTTGTGCGGGTGCTAAACCTAACCCCTGGATGCACTCGCTGAGAATGACTTGTCAATCCCTAGCTAACCACACCCTAAAGAATAACCTGCTTTATTGTCTATTTTACTCTAAATGGGACCATAATTTACTAATGAACATCATGCTGTATGGTGATTGAGACCATAAATAAACTCGTTAAGAAATTGTTTACTGAGCTAATAAATCAATGTAGAAATAGGGTCATTTCTCCATCAGACTCAATATTATCGGACATCTTTATTGCAGCCCATGGAGCTGACCCCTGCTGGCCATTAGAAAGAATGCAGGGTTAAGACACTATTTCTAATCAAAGGTTGCCGCATTGATCCACATAAGGAATCCGTGGAAAAGGAAAAGTTGAGACAAGAATAAAACTCTGCACGTCAACACAGCCTGACTGTTGTGTTGGCAGCAAACCCTTAATGAACGTTGATCTAATTTGGAGCTGAGGGATGTGTTGAGAAGGAAAAGAGTTTTTAGACGTGCCTTGTGGGGAAAGGCTGGGGGGGGGCGGGGGGTTAGGCTGCGGGTGGCATGCTAAAGTGAGGGGTGGG